TCTTTCTAGTAGATTATCTCCTCTAGGATCCATGTAGTGATTAGAGAGCTACGTCTCTTTTTTCTTACTGAATTTGGAGCAGCCACTCTGTCTGTTGTGACAGTGATGTTTTTGGTGTGTACTGCCTCTCTGTCCCCGTTTTGGATTTATCTGATATTTCCTCCTGATTAGACTCAGGTACACATTGTTAGATTACAATGTGTTCTTCTTCTTCTTGATGATGTTGATATCATTACTCTTTGAGGGGTCATCCCGTGTGCTGTGCAGCAACTCTCCCTCTGGGTTATGTGCTGTCTTGGAGATTAGTCTGGCTGTGCAGGATCCTGCTCCTCACTGAGCACCCTGAGATTCAGCCTTCACCCATCTCATTGTGACAACTGCAAGTGATGACTTTCTGACAACCCCTCCACATTTACCAGCCAACACTGCTATGTGCGAGAACCCTCCTGTCTGTCTGTGCATGTGTGCATTGGTTCCTGCTCGTCCTGTATTTTTTTTTTTTTTTCAGTTTTTGGCTGGGGCTAGGTTTGAACCCACCACCTACTCCTTTGAACCACAGGCGCCACCCCTGCTCATCCTGTATTTTATGAATTGTTTATTTTATTTAAATTATATTTGCTTATATCTGTTATTGGAATGGAGTTATGCATTCTTATTTTTTCACAGTGTATAATTATTTGCTCTTCTTAATTATCTTAACGTCCCAGATTTGGCCAGTGGAGCCCCCTTGACTGTCTCTTTTGAGTGTGACCCCATCACGTCCTTGAAGCCAGTTGTCCTTCTGTCATCTTATACCTGGCCTGCCTCAGCCATTTCTCCCAGGAGTCCTGGTTCTTTTTCAAAGATGATGATATCAGAGGCCAGACCTGGAGCTAGGTGGGCTACAGCTGCTTGAGTCTTCTTTTCTAGACTCTTTGAGTGGCTAGAGCTCACGAATATACCAGTAGTGTGTTGGTATCTGATTATATGTACACATGCACCCATATGAATGTGTATACACGAGCATGCTTGTGAGTGCACATGTGTACATATATACTTAGACCTAATATACATACATGTATGCACATGGGTGCATTCACATACTTACTTTAGAAATCTTGGGTTTACCTGATTCAGTCAGTTCTGTCCATTCCCCTGAGCATTCTCTTTGGACGCTGTATCTCCCTTCTCACCCTCAGAGAACTCTGACTTCAAGAATATCACACATTTCTCAATTCATAAAACATGGAAAGTAATTTCAGAGTTGCGTCACCCATACTACTGCAAAAAACAACCTACTAAAAAGATCTGTTTGTAGTGTCCCCCAACAAACATAGGTGGTAGCACATGAGGTTTATAACTCAGTACTGCTGTCCTCACCAGGGGGTCTAGGAAGGGCAGGAAGGGCCCTGTCACATTCATGTAGTCAAGAGTTAATTATTAAGCACAAAGAAAATGATGAAATCATATTCAGTGCTAAAACAAAGGTTTTTCATGTGCTTACACAAAGGTTTTTCCTGTGCTTATAGTTAGGTACTTTTGAGCTCTTCATGGGGTTTAGAAAGCATTAATGTACAGGAGAGAGTTGGGTTATGAGGAAACAACGAAGCAGTTAAAATGCCTTGATTTTATCGTATGGGTTCCTGTTCAAAATAATTGAATTAGCCTCCCCCTCAGACAGATGAGCAGGGCATGAATTTGAACGGAGTCACTGCTGGGCAAGCTCATCTTATCCTGCCTGTCTCACAAACACCAGCTCTAACATTTCAGGGTCAAGGAGCCTCCAGAGGCCCCTGGCTCATTCTCTGGCTCATAGGGTCCTCAGCCTTGCACTTGCCTTTCTTACGGCCCTATTGGTCAGCTAGCACATATCTGTCATCTGCTAGACTATGGACTATGTCATAGGTCAAGGAAGTCTGCTTCCCGGGCTTTGTGGCAGGGCCGTGCCTAGCCCCATGAGCCATAGGCAAGTACCACCTGAAGAATCCTAGGGCTGTGGAGGGGCCTTAGGGGCAGGCCTGACACTTCTGAGCAATGACAGTGGTGTCTGTTATATGCAGGCAGGAGCAGGTTTGTCCTCGTGATCTCAGAGGCAGAGAAGAGCTCTTGACCAAAGCTGATTGCGTCATAATGTAGAGAAGGACTAGAAGGACATAGAAATCACAGCTGGCCACAGGCAGTGGGTTGACCTAGAGGGGTGAATTCCAGTCCCTTGAGTGATATTTTGGGGCTTTGTCAGATGCATTTCTTCAGGGGAGAGGTTCATTCTGCCTCATTGACCTCCTGGTGTCTTTGGCTCCCTGCTTTTCATGATTTCTGCATAGTATACTTCTGCCCAGTAGATACCAGGTGGTGCCCAGTGCTGCAGAGGAAGGAACATGGCTTTGGGGTTAGGGAGACTGAGGTTTAATTCCTGGCTATGCCATTTACCATTTAAGATTTTGAGCAGTGTCAGTATCATACTCCAGAAGTGTCAGTTTCTTTGTCTGAGTAATGGGGGTGATATGTATCTCCTAGGGTTGTTGTAATGAACAGAGACTAAGCCTTATTCCTTGTCTGTCTCTCCACCCCTTCCCTATTAGAGGTGAAAGTTAAAAAATGTTGGGTCTCAGTTGCATATTTTAAAGGCATCTGTCTATTACCAGTTTTCAAGCTGGGTAGGAATGGTGAGCACGTTAGGTGAGTGCCTTGTTCAGTTATCTGCCCAGTGGCGGGCACAGCTCATGCCTCCTTTCTGTGGGGGTCTTTCCCTGTCAGCCACCTAAGTAAGGTCACAAGGAGGAGCTGGTATCAAGTGCTCATGCTGTAAAAATGTTGCCCTGTCCCACTGTGCCCTGTGCATGGTGAGAAGCACTCCTGGGGAAGAGGGCAAGCCTTGTCCCTGGGGCCTTGCAGGGGAGAGTGTCCCAGGACCTCTGTAAGGGGCAGGGGAGGGAAGGTGCTTGGGCACCTGAGTCACAGGGACCCCATGGTACTCTGATAGTCTGCAGGGCAGTGCCACATGTGAGCTGGTTTGGCCACTTTGAGAATCCTCCACTTCTCACTAGACCTGCTGGTATGTGGGAGCTGTCCTGAGCGGTGTTCATTGTCCTGTTCTCAGGCTCTCAAGTGGGGGGGTTATTAAGAGAGCCCTAAGTGGGCGGGACTCCCTAGGGATGCCACTTCTGTGCGTTCACAATTTGGAGCAGACTCTTCCTGAGAGGAGATTTGAGCCCATGGTGATTAGGTTAAGGGGACACAGGCACCTCCTTGTTGCCTTTGGCACCCACCAGTGCACAGTGTTGTGGACAAAGAGGAAAGAGTAATTTCTTAGGCTCGCTACATAATTTGGTTAAGGCTTCAGTTTTGCCATATCCATTAACCACCTGTTTTCTTCCAGATATTTTCTTTAAATTGTCTCCCTTTAAATTTGTTTATACATCTAAATTTATATTATAGTAAACAAAAACTTATCATGGCTTTAAATGGGAAATAACCATTAAAAATGATTGAAGCCGTTCATTTCTCCTTTGGGAAGCCCTACCGAAACTCCTGTGCATGTTTCCTCAGCTGGGGCTGTGGGTCCTTTTCTGGGTGTGCTTTGCTAACACCTGGGAGGTGGGTCCTCTGGGGATGGGTGAGGCAGGAAGAATGGGAAGTGGAAGGCCAGGCCTCAGGCTGGAATACGGGAGGGAGCAGGAGGGGAGCCCTCCCAGCTTGCCACTCTGCACATGCCCTCTGGAAAATGATTGTATATTTATTGTACAGACGGTGGGCAAGGCTGAGACCTGCCCCCTGCATTTGTATCATAACTATTGTAGTGCCCAAAGACCTTGCAGTGGAAGTGTCAGACTATAACATTTTGGACACCCACGAAATGCCAGGTTATACCCAGCTGGCTACAGGTGGGCCTCGTAAGAGAGTCCTGTGGGCAGGGAGTGAGTTTTATGAGGCAATAGGGCTGTGTTTTCTGTATGGCAGAGGAATGATTCTCCCACTGAGGATCCCATCCCACCCTTATCCCCACCCTACTTAGTGACAGCTTAGACCAAGTAGAAGGATCAACACATGACTCTGTTTTATTGACAAAGGCTGAGTGTCACCAGCAGTCATCAGTTTATCTGTTCTTACACTTTAATGAGAATGTTTACATATTGTCCTTGTCCCCACTATTAGTTTTGTGAGGTGAATTCCTCAATCACATATGCCAGAGGATCTCACCGAGGCATCCCATGGATCTGCAGGGCAACTCTCATGGTCTCATTCCACAGTAAGGAAATGACAAAGATCGTAGTAAACAAAACAGCAACTAAATCAGCATTTCAGAGCAGGAAGGTGGATGTTTCTTTCATTCAGGAAGAACCGTCCTAGCTAATGCAGACCAAGCTGCCCTGTGTGGCTGGTGAGGCTGCACAGAGCAGCTGGTATCATTCTGAGAGATTGCGGGTGCTCAGCTGTGCATGAGCAGTGTTCTTTTCTCTTCCTCTTTAACTTAGGGTACGCTGATTAGCGTGTAGGGTACGCTGATTAGCGTGTACCGAATTACAAACCATAGGCATGAAAAACATACCACCATGTCTAAGTCAGATCAATTGAGTGTATTCTGTCTCCAGGCTTCATTTTTACCCCAGTGTGGCAGATTTATTGTAGGTTTAGCTTGTAACTAAGATATTTCATCCAAAGTGGACTCTCCATTTGGCTTTTGTTGGACAATATTAGAATTGTTTGTTGCTGAAGGAACAAGGTGTACAGAGAGGAGCTGGTGTTAAGTGGCTCTTTGATATTGGAGTCACACGGTCTGCAGCAAGCATTTCTGGACTGTGGTGGTTCTGTGTGAGCTGTACAAAATCAAGGAGGGCTCATAGTAAGGTTTCCTTAACAACCCCAAGGACGACCAAGCAAGCGTGACTGTCACTGAGGCACTGAAGAGACCATAGCAGTCAGTGTCTGACTGACAGCATGACCTGTCCCTCTGCTCACCAAGGCTTGGCTGTGTGCAGTTCCTGTGAGGAGCGCCACCTCTGGCACTCTGTCCTCGAGGTTCTTCATACTGCGCTGCTGAACTTCACATCTGACTGCTCCGTGCTGTCTGGGATGACTGCCTTCAGGGCAGCGTGACAGAAGCGATTCAGAGCTGGCAGGTTTGTTTTCTGTTCAATGTACAGCCTCAGCTTGTCCCTGAAGGTCTCCCCAAGAAAGCTGTAGATGAGGGGGTTCAGGCAGCTGTTGGAGAAAGCTGCAAGGTTGACAATGTGGCTGGTCAAGGGGTAGGCATGGCGGAAAGACTGTGTGCAAGGTGCGGCCCCTGGCTGTGCCTGCTGCAGGAGCTGGACACTGATGAAGACGTTTTCTGGCAGCCAGCAGATAAAGAAGACGAGGACCACGGCCAGGATCATCCGCAGGGCCTTCTGTCTCCGGGGGCGCAGGCCTCGGTGCCTGTGGGCCGTGACAAGGGCACGGACTATGAGGGAGTAGCAGAGGCCGATGATGGCAAAGGGGACCACAAACCCCAGGGTGATCTCAAGCCACTGGACTTCCTTGACGTCTGCAAAGCAGAAGCAGACCTCCTTGGTGTGCTGCAGCTGGGCAGCAGTGAAGGGTACGAGTGTGGCAGAGACAGAGGCCATCCAGATGAGGCCACAGCTCAGCCTGGCATGCTGCTTGGTACGGAACAGGCTGGCACGCATGGCTCTGGCTAGGGCGATGTAGCGGTCAAAGCTCATCCAGGTGAGAAAGAAGACGCTGCTGTACATGTTGATCTGCAGGAAGAGGGACATGAAGGTACACAGCACAGCAATGTCATAGTACTGCTCATCCAAGTTGAACACCTCGATCAGGGAGTCTGCTACAAGGATGAGGTCTGCCACCGCCAGGTTGATAAAGTAGAGGTCAGGGATTGTCATCTTCTCACGGAAACTGATGTTCACCACAAGGATCAGGATGTTCCCCACAAAACCAATGGGGAAGAGGAAGATGATATACAGGCTCGAGAGGAAGAGGCCAATTGCGTACTGCTGGTGCTCAGAGAGGTTGCCTGTCTGATTCCCCAGGGCCGCACTGTGCAGTGGGTGGGACAGGTTGAGTTCTGGGGCATTGCTGTTGTTGGCTGCAGGCTGGGTGCCTGGGTAGAACTCCATGCCCAAGCCACGGCCTTGGAAGTCACAGCTGGTCTCCAGTCTGGGCAGTGTTCAGGATTTGCCGAAAGGCTCACAGAAATCTGTCTTCAACAATGAATCCATTTTTACAAAGGAAGGTGGCTCTCTTGGAAGTGAGCCAGACATTGGTAAGACAGGAACGCTTATCACCAGGGTGCTTGTGACTTTTTGGGTTTGTTAACTGCCCATTGCTGGCTGCCATGTGGGGTAACTGGAGGCTACCCGTGCTGTGGTCCTTTCCTGGGGTGTCCTCTGTGTTCAAAGCGCACCTGGTGCTGCTTCTTTCTGGGCACCTGGGAGAGCAGACGGGAGAGGTTGAGTCTCATCATACGGCCTCACCTTCCAGCAAAGCAAGATGCTTCCAGCCAGGTCTCAGTAGTGTAGCACAAGTACCAAGGAGGGGCAGAACTGTGGGTTTTATTATCTTGGAGAGAGGTTACCACTGAGTGGAAGCAGAAGAAATGCGTGTAGAAAGTACCTTGTTTTCCTTGCTCAGGGTTCCCAAGATGCTTAGTCTGAGCTGAAGCCGGGACAGTGAGTCATCCTCACAGGCAGAGTGACTCCCCTAGTGGTGAGGTCCAGGCTCATGAACTCACATGGACGCTGAGTATGGGAATCTTAGGAAAACTGCTAATAATTAGAAGAGGAAGTAAAACTTAACTTCAGTAGCTGTTGGAAAGAGAGAAAGATGGGAAGGGAAAAGCTCAGTTTTTCTGAAAGAGTGGATCCCAAAAACTTCAGTCGTGGAAATTAAAACAGAATATTTTCTCTTGCAATAGAATAGATAAAAGTTTAGCTTTTTTTGCTAATGTTAGTACTAAGTTTGGATGCCAAAAATAAAACTTTTTTTCATTGTATAGAATGAAAGAGAATAAAAATAAAATGGTCATTGATTTAGGACTTGGTTTTTAAAATTTTATTCAGTGTTGTAACAAATCATTGTAAAATGTAATATATTTTTGTAATGCCATTTGTCACCTAGGAACAGGTGAAGAAAGTCTCCTTCAGGGTCTCATTTATGACAGGACAGAGGAAGTGGGTAGACGCAGTGGCTCTGCTGGGATAGAGGGGTTTCCTGTCACTTAAACCATTGTGAGCTGGAAGTTATGGAGGGAAGTAAGGTCTTCAACCAGGGGACCTTGGCGGTCCCCTGGACATACTGGGGTGTCACAGGTCAGGGTGCTGCTGGGACCTAGTGAGTGGGGGCCGGTGTGCTGCTTCCACATCACACAGAACACATCCCCTGGCCTCCTTGCAGAGAATTATCTGCCTAATTGCCAGTAGTGCTGAGTGTAAGAAACCCTAGAGTATGAAAATGGATTTGACTTGTTTTGTTTTGGGAGTTTCATTTTATCTTTTGAAATCATTAGGAACTATTTTAAAGTATTGTAAAACCAGACTAGAGATTTATTGACTAAGTTAAAAAACATTGCTTTAAGGAAAAAAAGGAAAAGAAAAATCACTGCTTTGGTGTCAGTCGTTATTTTCAAAATATTCAATCACATTTGCTTAGCTGGGGTTGATACATTTTATTTTATTAGTTATTTTCCATTTTTTATTCATCTCTAGTAAATAATACCAATTTGAACAGCTAAATGTCACAGTTCTCAGATTCTGTCTGTGATACTGAAAGCCCCTGTATTTAACTTCTGTGTTTAGTTTCTTCTTAAAAACTGCCCGTAGTGCTTGCTTTGCTCTCTAAATGTGGAAATTGTGGAAAATGTGAGGCTGCAGTATTAGAAGAAAGGTAAGGGCTAGCAGAACCCTTAACGTATGTTTGTTGTCTTGCCTCAATTTTTTAAATCAACTCTGGGGAAAACACTTTTAAAATGAGTCATTTGTTTCTTTTCCATGTAAATGGAGTTTTTTGATTCTTGAAAAATACTGTTACTTTCATAATAGTCTAATAAAAAGATACATGAACCTAGTGTAAAATTTACTACTGACCCAGTATTCTCATAAACATTGGCCATAAGTTTCTAAAAGGTGAATATTAAATAGTTAGATACTTCATTTCAGATTTCCACTGCTTGTTCAACAGATCTAAAAAAAATGAGAGCACATTTTTGTCGGTTCCATTCCGTCTGTGCCTTTATACTGGAATATTAATCCGTCTATAGCTTTCAGGGTTTAGGAGGGACTAAGGGGCTATAGTACAAGGCGGAGCTGTGGATATCTTGTGTTCTTAGAGTGATACACCTTCTTGCTTTAACAGAATATGACAGAATACTGAATCTTAGTGTTTTCAGTGTGCCCTGTAAAAGGCACTTCAGGCAGAGCCCCTGTTGGGGTTGTGTGGAGACTACCAGGGCTGCCTGGCATTTCTTACTGGATCTCTAGGAGCAGTCTGTACCTTGAGCTTTGAAGGCTGGGTGCTGCTCCCACCAAGGGGTACGGCTTTCTTCCGTCTGTGTGCTGTTGCCAAGGCGGGGCTGCACTTAGGTGAGACCTTCCTCCCTTCTTTCCCCCTGCCACCTGCCCCAGGAGTGAGCGCTGAGCTTACCTGTGAGTAGACTCGATGTCCTTCCAAACTTTCTTGGCTAGCTCCTTCAGCCTGGAGGTGCTCTTGAAACTGTCTTGAAGGTGGAATTCAACTTCCCCAATAATGCTTAGCAGAACTGGAAGAAAAAGAAAGACCCCACCCTAGGGAGCCGTGGTGGAGAAGGTCCCCTGAGCAAGCTTCTGTGTGTCTGTGCCGTCTGTGGCCTCCTTGGCACTGTGGCTTTATAGGCTTCCCAGGGCCCACTCTGGCCCTGGACTGGCTCCCTGGACTCGCTCTGGCTGCTTCCTTCTAAGGCCAGCATTAACCACTTTTTTGCTGGCTTTTTTTCTTCCATGCTTTGGTAATGAGCTCAATCCCACTAGCCATTTTTATGGAAGTTTCCACTTTAACTGCTTTTCTTCACCCATCGATACAAACTTATTTTAAAGTTTAAAGGAATTATACTAAATATTGTTTATCCGAATAGCCTATCATCATTTGTTAAAATGAGATATTCTTGCTTATTTTAGCAACCGATTGTCTTTAAAACTGAACATGAGATTTTATACGTTAACACAGTAGCATATGAATAATAAATACATAGAGAATTTAACTTATGAATTTGACAAAAATATTTACAGAGCAAAATTTAAACCCAAGAAATAACAGGTATTTTTGACAAGTAAATTAGGAACCTAAGTACAGGTTGAACCATCCCTAATCCTGAAATCTGAAATATTAAAAATTTTTGACTATCATGATGCTACAAATGGAAAATTCCACACTCAACCTCATGTGACAGATTGCAGCCAAAATGTGGTCATAACGTTATTTTAGGCATGAAATTATTTAAAATATTATATAAAATTGGCTATGTGTGTGAGGTCTATATGAAGCATAAATCAATCTTGTGTTCAGACTTGGAATCCATCCCTAAGATATCTGTATCGTTGTGTATATGCAAATATTCCAAAATCCCCCCCAAAAATCTGAGATCAAAAATATTCTGGTCCCTGCATTTTGGATGAGGGATACTCCACCTGCAGTTTTTCTCTCATGTCAGCTGTCTCAGTGCCACAGCCATGTAAATCCCAGTCTCCTGGGTGTCATCCGCAGAGACCTTTCCCTCTCTTGTTGTTGCTCATTTGTTGAGCTTGTGTGATCAGAGAATAAACTTCTTTTGTCCCCAGTGTCTGGACAGCCCTGTATTTGGCTGCCCTCCCCAAATGCCTCACCTGCTGGTGGTAAATTCTGCCCAGGGCTCTAGGGAGAGGCACAGCGAGGGGTGGGAAGTGGGGGGTGGGGTAGGGGCTTCAGGCTGACTGCTCAGGCCAGCTGTGGGTTTTCATAGAAATTAAATTTCAGTTGATCTCATTAATACTTTCTTCTTGGTATCTTTTTATCTTTTTAACTTTTTGAAGTGGTGAGATTGAGTTCTTTTTTGTACACTGAGTCTGAACAGCTCAGATGATCATAGCTGAAGAGCAGTGTGGTAGCCTCGTGGTCTTCCTGGAGGAGACGCAGAGGTGTCCGGGGACCACACTCCCTGGTGCTGCATCTTGTCCCATGCAGCAGCCCCTTTCTATTTGGTGACAAGCTTGCTGTGCAGGAACCTTCTGTGTGATGATGTTTTAAAATCTTTCTGATACATGTTTTAGGAAATATACAGATATTTTTAAACACAGAGTGCTATGTTAATTTTTTATGGAAAAATACTAACATTCAGGGTTCCTTCCTAATGTATAAGTTCTATGACTTCAATAAAAACTTTGTAAAAATTTATAAAAACTTTGAATGATAAAATACAGAGCTGATTTGCTCTTGGACATTTTGGACCAGCTGTGAAGTCAAGATGTCTCCAACATAGACACCATTTTGAAAGATATGAGTCATGAGAAAGTACAACTTCCTCTGGTTTAAATACATAAATAAAATAAAAATCCAAACCTTGAAATAGCCAGGACATGTCACTTAAAAATAGCTGCTCCCTACTTGCGAAAACCCACAGCTCCTGGTTTTGCTGCTTGTCCCAGGATTAAGGAAGCACTTTAGACTGTCAGGGGTTGCTGAGCACACCACTCCACATCTTTGCAGCTTCTGGTGAATTTGCTCTAGGATGTTGATTGGCTGATACTCTTAGATTTTTCTGCTTAAGGTGTAGGATCAGATAGCTGAATTGGGGATGAAAAGCCTTCTTATTAAAGCATTTGATGGTTGAGTGGCTTGTCAACCATCATATAACTAATTAGTATAAGGGACAGGACACAGATGTCAGGAACTTCTGTCCATGGACCTAGTGAATGCTTCCGTGGGTAACGGGAGGAGAGAAGGCTTGTGTGGAAGTCTTTATTGAGCATAAGACCTGGCGTTTAATGAGTGCTTCTGTGAGCTGAGCCCTGTGCCTAGTACTGTGTACCTTGTCTCAGGGATTCTCCTGTAGAGCCTGTGAGGCCAGGCTGCTATTCCCCCATTTCATAGATTAGAAAACTGACCATGGAGGGAAGTC